TTGATTTCGAGTTTCAAGGCCTTGTGGTCTGAGAAAAAGTTTGGTATTATTTCAATTTTCCTGAATTTACTGAGGCTTGCTTTGTGTCCTATCATGTGGTCTATCTTTGAAAAACTGCCATGAGCATTTGAAAAGAATGTGTATTTTTCTTCTTTGGGATGTAAGATTCTATATATGTCAGTTAAGTCTCTTTGATTCAGTGTTTCATTCAGCGCCACGATATGTTTATTAATGTTTTGTTTGGAAGATCTGTCCATTTTTGACAGTGGGGTGTTGAAATCCCCTACTATCAGTGTGTTGCTGTCTATATCTTTTTTGAAGTCATCCAACAATTTCCTTATAAACTTGGGGGCTCCTATATTGGGAGCATATAAGTTTACAATGTTGATATCTTCTTGATAGATTCTTCCTTTAAGTATGATAAAGTGCCCCTCTGGGTCTCTCTTTATGGCCTTTGCTTTGAAATCTACTTTGTCTGATACAAGTATGGCAACGCCAGCCTTTTTCTCATGTCCATTTGCTTGGAATATTATTTTCCATCCCTTTACTTTCAATCTGTGTAGGTCTTTTGCTCTGAGGTGGGTCTCTTGTAGGCAGCATATGTGTGGGTCATGTTTTCTTATCCATTCAGCTACCCTGTGTCTTTTGATTGGGGCATTTAGTCCATTCACATTGAGAGATATTACTGATAGAAACTTACTCATCTTTTCTCTTTGTACTTGTGTTCCTCTCTGTCTCATTCTTTTCCTTCATCTGCTTAAACCAGTCCCCTTAGCATATCTTGGAGTGCTGGTTTGGTAGAGATGTATTCTTTTAGCTTTCTTTTGTCTGGGAAACTCCGTATTTCTCCTTCTATTTTAATGGAGAGCCTAGCTGGGTAGAGCAGCCTTGGCTGTAGGCCCTTACTTTTCATGGCTTGGAATATTTGTTGCCATTCCCTTCTGGCTTGTAGTGTTTCTGTTGAGAAGTCAGCTCCTAGGCGTATCGGGGCCCCCTTGTATGTTACTTTCTCCTTCTCCCTTGCTGCCTTGAGGATTCTCTCTTTGTCTTTGACATTTGCCATTTTAATGATGATGTGTCTTGGAGTGGACCTCCTTGGGTCCTTCTTGAGTGGGGTCCTCTGTGCCTCCTGGATCCATGAGAGCCTTTCTCTCCTCAAATTAGGGAAATTTTCCTTCATTACTTTTTCGAGGAGGTTCTCTATTCCTTGCTCCTCTTCTTCTCCTTCTGGTATCCCTATTATACGGATATTATTGCGTTTCAGGTTGTCCTGCATTTCCCTAAATGCTTCTTCATTCTTTTTGAGCCGTTTTTCCATTTCTTGTTCTTTCTGGGAGCTTCTTTCTACCTTGTCCTCCATCTCACTGATTCGATCCTCAGCTTCATCCAGTCTGCTTTGGATTCCTTCTACTGTGTTCTTCAATTCAGAAATGGTATTCTTCATATCCTCTTGTGTCTTCTTGATAGTTTCTGTGTCCTTTTCCAGGCTGATATAGTTTGCTGTAAGATCCTGATAGTTTCTCTGCAGTTTCTCATAGTTATCTTTGAGCTGGCTGACCTCATTGAGCTTCCTTAGAACCATTGTTTTAAATTCCATATCTGATAGTTCCCTTGCCTCTATTTCATTTAGCTCTCTCTGTGGGGAGTCCCCTTTTCCACTCATTTGGGGGGAACTTATTTTTCTTCCCATTTTTGTGAGAGTCTGTTAAGTATTTTTGTCCTTTACTTTTCTTTCTGGGCTTGCCTCTGATGATGTCAGTTGTTGACCCTATAGGGCCTTGGGTTGTTTGTTTGAGCCTTTCAGGAGTCTAATGCCTGTGTCTGACTCCTGCTTGGAGCAGCTCTGTGACCCCTTCGGTCAGGGCTGGGCTATTTTTTGGGATCTCTCTGCGCTCTCACGACAGCTCCTTGAGCGCGTTCCCAGCGCCGCAGGGTCCCCCGCCTGCCTGGGCTCGCATGTGCTTGCCCCAGACCAGGGGGCTTATTTGCGACCTCCCGTGCTCATCTGGCCTCCCTGGCACGCGAGCTTCGCGGCACTGGTCAGTTTAGGGTCTTCTATTGTGTGTTTTCCCCGCTTTTGGCTCTTTGGGTGCGTTGCTTGCCCTCGCCAAATGGGGACTACGGAAATGGGAGGAAATCAGCTCTAGGACTCTCCGGTTAATCCTGTTTCTGGTCTCTCCTCCAGGGACTCTGGGCAGCTCTACTTATTTTGTGGGCTGCTCCGCAATCGCGGCGGGTAGGTCAATTTATGCCTTCCCTTGCCCCTCTGTGCAATCCCTCGCAGGCCGTATGGGTGCCAGTCTGTGTGAGGCCTTGCCGGCAGGTGCAAGCGTTCGCCAGCCCGCGTGGGTCACACACACGCTCGCCAACCCTCGCCAGTCACTCGGCGCAAGTGTGCGCGCCTGCTCTGGGTGTTTTGGGGGTGTCTATGTTTGCTTTTCGGCTTTTGGCTCTTTGGGGGTGTGGCCTCTTCCCGCGCAATGGAGACTTCGGCAAGGAGAAGGAGTCAGGACTCCCCGGTTCCTCCTCCCGTTCTTTCCCCAATGCCTCCGTTTCTAGTCTCCCCTCAGGGGCCTCTGGGGAGTTCTGTGACCCCTTCGGCCGAGGATCCAACCCCTGTGCGGACTGCGTTTCAATCGCAGGCAGTCTGGTTCATGCGCGCCCCGCTTCTGCCTCTTTGGGGTCGCGCCTTTCCAGCCCACAATGGAGACTACCGAACGTGGAGGGAGTCGGGACTCCCCGGTTCCTCCTCCCGTTCTTTCCCCAATGCCTCCGTCTCCAGTCTCTCCTCAAGGCTCTCCCAGCCAGTCTGCACTCAGCCCCGTAGCTCACAGGCGTACAAGCTGTGTGCGGAGCGCACAAAAGGCAGGTTAATTGATTCCCTTATGCCTGAGCGAGATGGTAGCTGCAGAGTGGGAAGTGCGTTATCACCCGGGCTCCACCGGCCGCAATGGCAGTTCTCTTCACAAAGTTTTCCTCACCAGTCTTTTCCCAGGCACCAGCCCACCCTGCTGCCGCCTGTACCCAGCGATCAAGGAGGGTGGCTGCCGCTGCAACTTTTGCGTTTGCCCTTTAAATGTCTTTTTGCATCCCCAGCCACCTGTCTCTGGCAGAGAGCGCCCCTAAGCTTTTTGGGGTTGCGTTTTGTCTGTATTTTCTCGGCTTTAGCTGCTGTAGTTTAGGGGTTCCTGTTTATGATTCAGACCCCGTTCTTCTCGGGGGGACGCTAACTGGCCGTTTCAGTGTCCCTCTGGTGCCAGTGCCCGTGCGCACCCAGCCCACCCTCTCGAGCCTCCACCGCAATTCTCACCCGTTGGGATGTGTGAGAGTCGAATCCACTGTCCGCGGCACCAAGGCTCCTCTCCCACTATCGCTCCACTGCTTTCCAGGTGATTACTTCATTATTTAGTTGCAATTCCAGTTTGGTTTTGGGAGGAGGTCAGCGTGACTCCCTTTCACTCCTCCGCCATCTTTTTTTCCTCTCACCTGGGGGTGGGTCCTTTGACGTTGGTGCTGCTCAGGGGGAGTCATCTCTGCCTGAGCAAGATGGCTGCTGCCCTAGGGAGGATGAGTCGGCACCAAGATCGCACCGGCTACTAAATTCTCTCCCCAAAGCCTCCTTCCCCAGTTTCTCCTCAGGTGTCTCTAGCCCACGCTGCCCCTGCCTTTGCCAGAGTCCAGGGTAAGTGGCTGCAAATGAAAATTTATGTGTTGGTTCTTTAAACAGTTCTTTACATCCTCAGCCGCCTGTCTCTAGCAGAGAGCAACTCTGCCGCTTTTCGCAGCTGGCTGTTTTTTGTGTACTTTTTGGGCTCTGGTGTTATGGGCTTTGAGATCCCCGCTTTGGTTTAGACCCCGCTCTTCTCAGGGGGATCCAACTGGCCATTTCAATATCCTTCTGGTGCTGCCGCACATGGGCCTTCTCGAGCCTCTACCACACTCCTTACCAGTTAGATTGCACTAAAGCCGATTTTTCTGTCTCCAAGGTTCCAAGGCTCCTCTCTCGCTCTTTTTCAGTTGCTTGTTCCAGGTGATTTCTCGACAATTTAATTGTAATTCCAGGTTGGTCCTGAGAGGAGGTCAGTGTGACTTCCACTCACTCCTCCGCCATCTTGATTCTCCTCCTGTCTGTATGATTCTTACTGATCTGTAGAGGTTATTTTATATGTTTCAGATAAGATCCCTTTATCATGTATGAATGTTGTGGACAATCTCCTCATCTATATCTTGCCTTTTTACTTTTGTACCTTTTTAATCTTTACTGTATTTTTCCATTACCATTTACTCCCCTTATACCCCCCACCCTAGCAATTATCACACTGTCGTCCATGTCTATGAGTCCCTTTTCCTTTTTCCTTAATCCCTCCACCCCCTAATCTCCCCCCAACGCCCAGCTGTCATCCTTTTCTCCATGTTGTACTTTTAATCTTGTAACATTCATAAGTATTTTCCTTTAAGAATAGTGCTTTTCAAGTCTTATTTTAGAAGTGTTTCCCTATCCCAGGTCTGTAAAACATTTCCCTATATTGTTTTCTAGACATTTTATTGTTTACCTTTCACATTACATTTACAATTTACCTGTAGCTGATTTTTGTATATGGTGAGTGTTAGGGGTTACCTGTCATTTTCTCTCATATAGATATCCAGTAACCCATCCATATTTATTTGAAAACATGGTCCTCGTCCTACTGCTTTTAATGCCAACTTTGTCATAACTCAGCTGTTCATACATATTGGATTCTCTTTTTATTTCTACTGGACTATTTGTCTAGGCTTGTGCTAATCCTACATTGTCTTACATGTTCTATTTTTTTAATGAAATGGTTTTTCTACCATGATTTGTGATTTTCCCACAAAGTAGGTCACTAACTTGATATAAAATAGGCATCCTGTATTAATTCATCATCATGAACTTAGGACCCAATTAGAAGTTTCCCTCAATTCCATCCCCATCACCCAGTGATCAGCATTTTAGAATAAAAGGAATGTGCAATTTATAGGGACTCGTGACATTTGAAGATGTGGCTGTGGATTTCACTCAGGAGGAGAGGCAGTACCTGAACCCTCTACAGAGGACCCTGTACAGGGACGTGATGCTGGAGACCTACAGCAACCTGGTCTCTGTGGGTAAGAATGACTTCCTCAGGTCATTTTCCTGTTTATGATTACTGTGTCCAATAGAGGTCCTTTAATTAATAAATTTCAGAAACTTGTAAAGTCTCTGAATTGTTTGAAGAGTTTGACACTGAATTCCAGGGATCAAAGTTCCATTTTTCCCTTTTGCTCTCCTGACAAGGTGTGTGTGAACTAAAAGCCCAGGTGAAATGATTTGACTTAACCATTGTGTCAAGTGATAGGTCCCTTGTGTTGCCCCAAACTCTACTTTCCTCTTTCTCAGAGGCAATGAAGACCAAGGAGGTGTTGCTGTCATTTCTCATTAGCAGGGCATCAGGCTACCAAGCCAGAACTCATCCTCAAATTGGAGGTAGAGGAGCCATACCTGGCAGAAGGGAAAATCCCAGTTTGGAGCTTTCCAGGTAAGTGGGATTGACCCAGGCTATGGGGACATGAGGTCCCAGCTTGTTAGTCAGGGATGAAGACCTCTGAAAGGGCTTTCAGGAATTTCTGGGAAAAGATTGTGGCCCTTGATGTTGTTTGAGGACAGGGACATGAACACCCATACATAAGACTGACCCCCCCTCCCCTGTCCCACACCTACCAGATTACTCTCTTTAAGTTGGTTTCTGCACAGCTCCATTCCCCATATGTGTGTCTTGTATATGCTAATTCCAAGCACCTAAGCCCTGCCACTTCTACCATTCTCATTTCTCGCTGCCTTATCTAAAGCCAGGCACACATTAGTCACAAGGCCAAGGCTAATGCTTCAATTCTAGATTGAATGACCTGATTCCATTCAGCTTAGATATTCCTGTCTAAAACATTTTGATTTTCTCGTTTTAAAGAGAGCTTTATTGAGATAGAATTCACATAGCATAAAATTCACTCTTTTGGAGCACACGTTCAGTGATTTTTAGTATATTCACAGAGTTGTGCAGCCGTCACCAATACAGAATTTTAGAACATTATAATCACTTCAAAAAGACACCTCTATCTCTTAATCAGTCACTCTCCATTCCTTTGCCCATCCTCTGGCAACTATTATATACTTTCTGTCTGTAGGGTTTTGACTCTTCTGGTTTCTTTCACTTCTTGGCATATTCTCAGCGGTCATGCATCCATATTGTAATATGTATCAGTACTTAATTTATGGAAGAAAGATAATCCATTGTGTGGATATACAACATTTTGTTTTTCATTTGATGATAGACATTTAGGTTGTTTCCACTTTAATGATTCTATAAACATTAATGTAGTAGTTTTTGTGGTGATATGTGTTTTCATTTCTTTAGAGTACATACATAGGTGCGGAATTGTTGAACAATGTGATAACTCTGTGTTTAACATTTTGTGGAACTGCCAAACTGTGTTAATAGCCTGTTCCTCAAAAATTTTTATCCAGTGGTTTTAACATTCCCTGATGATTCTTGCCTAAATCAATTATTACTGAGTTGGTTGAAAAATAATGAATTTTCTATTATTCCTTCTACATTTGTAAGTTGGCACTCTTCTGTAAAGAACTTTTCCCTTACCCCATCTCCATTAATTAACTAATTAATTTTAGTATCAGTAGGGACTCATGGACTTCTATTTTTCAATGTATTATCCATTACATTATATTCTTGTTCATTTTGATGTTCAAATTGTTCTCAGTTTGACTAATAAGAGTCCCTTCAGGCTGGCTCCTCTGTCTTTTGACATGTCTCCGTCATTCCTTGAGCACTTTCTAGCACAAAAATACATCCCAGGTTCACTTTGTCTTTTCTTCGTTTCAGACCTGGAATGAGCAGCTTCTCCAAGGATCTCTGATTCCATTTAGTGGGGAATGGTATATAAAAATCAGCATCTAGGTGCTGGGTGTGCTCATAGCTACTCAGATTCTTGTTTTATAATCTACAGATAATTCCCTCCATCTGTCTTTTTTCCCTTGTATTTATTTTTTAAGTAACTCGGTCATTTGTCCTTTAGTTTCTCACATTCTGGATTTTGGTGTTAAGTACCCCCATAGTGGTATTTGACATATCTCTCTTTCCCAGCAGCATTGTTAGTACTATTCTGAGACTGCTGAATGTATATAGAGGGTTCAGTCAGTTGAAATAATCATGTCAGTGCCATTGAGAATCAAGACTTTTCAGTATGGTTGTTAGGAAATGAAGAGGAGACGATATTTATTATTAGGGAATCCTTTTATATTCAATTTTGCTTTCTGATTATATAAAATTTGCAAATAATAACAAAAATTTAACCAAATAACTTTAAAGATATATTGACACTATAAAACAATTCATGAATCAGGGAGCATTCCCATCTAGCAAATAGAAGGATGCTTAAAGAGTTATACAACATGGATGGTTTTCACAGGCAGAAGGAAAGTGGGACAAGAAGGTTTAAAAGGATGTATTATTTCAGACAAGGTCACCTTCCCTTAGGAGAAGGCAGGGGATCTTATCAGTCAGATTACCTCATTAGTGTTGTTCAGGAAGTTCTAGAATGGTTTTAAAGTTCCACTCCTGGGAGAGGCTGAAACTGCAGTTATTAAACTTTGGTGGGGTTTACCACAAGTGACTCCATTTTGGGTGTGTTGTTTCTTTTTAACATAAATATTTGCTTGGATCCAAAGTCAAATCTAGAAAACAGGTATATTCTAAGAAGTCTAGCTTCTTTCCCTCTCCATCCCAGTCTCTTTCTTTCTTCTCCCTATAGGTTAACACTACTATCAGATGTAACCATTTATTAAAATTTAAGTTTATCCTTCCATTGTTTTTTTACAAGATGAGCCTACACAAATGTATATATTTATATTTTTCCTTCTGTAGAGAAATGTTAGCCTACTATGCACAGTTTTATTAACCTTGTTTTCAGTTGATATTCAATAACATGTTAAATACAGGGTCCGGCAGAAGTAACACCTGCTTGAATATGGTTGGTACAGTAATAATGTGGGTGTAATAATTTATTTTTTAAAATATTTTATTTATTTTTAGAGAAAGGAATGGAGAGAGGGAGAGAAACATCAATGTGTGGTTGCCTCTTGAGCACCCCCAGCTGGGGACCTGGCCTGCAACCCAGGCATGTGCCCTGACTGGGAATTGACCAGTGACCCTTTGGTTTGCAGGCCAGTGCTCAATCCATGGAGCCACACCAGCCAGGGCATATGGGTGTAATAATTTATAGTTTTAATTTGAATGTTTCACCTAAAATGTCACAGGGTGTGCTTGAGTGTGGTATTGTTATGTTACAGAATTACATGCTTACGATTTCATAATAAAAAGGGGCGTTATTTGTGCCAGACCCTGTATATTAAAATATTACTTATTTTTTATAGTACTATAGTGACTCTTAATTGTAATAGTCATAGTTGTAGTTGTGGTAGTAGTAATTGTAGTAGTATAGTCATTGTTCTCATAAACATTTAAAAGCACTTCCTGTGTCATACCTATTCTAAGTAATGTAATCATAACAACAAACATTTTAGTGGGCACTGTTATAATTCCTGTTTTTACCAGGTGGGAAAGTAAGACACAAATAGACCAACTTGCCTAAGTTCACAGAGCAAATAAAGGACTAAGGTAGGATTTGATCCTGGGCTAGAGAGCCTGTAACACTAGCCACATGTGCTATGCTGCTTCTTACCACCTAAGGAGGTTCAGGTTCAATAGATCCTTGGCTGACTTGGCTCCCCTCAAATTTATTTAGTAGAAGTTTTTTGTGTGATTCTAATGTTCACTCCTAGTTAAGAACTAGTGGTTTGCAATCCAAAGGATCTCCCAGGAAGAGAAACCACAGCTGCATGATCCATTTTAAAATTCAGTATTATGTTATCCTTATTAAATCTAAGTGGTGATATGAGTAGTTATAGTTACTCTTCTTTCAACTTCTCTGTATGTTTGAAAATTTTCATATAAAATTTTAGGAAAATGTGAGAAGAAAAATAAAATTCAAAGTGATAAAAATTAAGTACTATATGTGCAGAAAGTATTTACCATATTTTATTGTCTTCAAGAGACCTTTGGATTTTAAGACACACCACTAAGAAAGAAAAATTGCCACCAATTAATTTTTGACATGTCGTTGATTGTAAGGTGCATCTGGATTCAGGAATGTTAAAATGTTGAATGATATTAATCTTGTGATTGATGAAATACAGTATATTAAAGGCAGGGCTTTGCAATTTTAACTGTCTGAATGGGTCGTACAGATGAACAACTACTTTAGAAGTTCATAAAAATTAAAGTTATAGAGGTATGTTTTGAAAAGACTGAACTTCTTGAAAGTTATCTAGAATCTGAATGTAACAAAATATGAAGGACTTGGTTCTGTGGGTGATAGAACATTAAGAAGGGTTTGGAATTAATAATAGACCTAGCTTTTAGAAGAAATAGACAGGAGCAGAAGGTGGTGTTGAAGAATTGTGAATACAAAGGTGAACCCAGGGGCAAAGATCTTTAGGTTTTTCTTTGTTTTTTGTAAGCCTAGTTATTGTAAATCTTTCATTTACTGAGAATGTGAATTTGGTATTGTATAAATAGTATAAGTCAGGTACAGATAGGAGTTCATATGGTAAGTGAAGTTTAAGGGTGATAAGGTCACCAGAGTTGATGGAAATCAGAGATGTAGTGATAAAGACTTAGTTGTCAAGGTAAGATTAGGTTTTCTTGGTAAAAAAAAAGCTAGCAGGTGAGAGTTTAGTAAAAGAACAGGATTTGATGGTCAAATTTCTCTCTTTAGGAACTCTGATAACACGAGATAATAGTATCAGCTTTCATGTGGCACTGCATTTCTAAAGAACATCCATTCCATAATGTCAAAGTATAAAAATGGGTTTATTCTGCTTCTTTCCAGAAGAAGCCTGCCAAGTTGATGAACAGATTGAGAGACAGCACCAGGATGACAAAGATAAATGTTTGTTGATGCAAGTTGGATTCCCTGACAAGAAAACAATTACCACCAATGGTAACGATGACTATAATGAATTTGGAAACACACTTTATCTGAGTACAAACCTTGCTGCTTCAATACAAAGACCCCATAAACACGAACCATTTGGAAATAATATGGTAGACAATTTAGACTTGTTTAGTAGAAGCTCTTCAGTAAAGAAACATGATAATGGATGTACAAAATTATTATTCCATACCGAATATGAGAAAACAACTCCTGGAGTGAAAACCTATGGCTATAAAGAGTGTGGGAAGACCCTCAGGCGAAAGAAAGGTCTTAGTCTACATCAGAGAATTAAAAATGGAGAGAAACCCTTTGAGTGTACTGCATGTAGGAAAACCTTCAGCAAGAAGTCACACCTCATTGTACATTGGAGAACTCATACAGGAGAGAAACCCTTTGGATGTACTGAATGTGGAAAAGCCTTTAGCCAAAAATCTCAACTCATTATACACCTGAGAACTCATACAGGAGAGCGACCCTTTGAATGTCCAGAATGTGGAAAAGCCTTCAGAGAAAAGTCAACTGTCATCATACATTACAGGACTCATACAGGAGAGAAACCTTATGAATGTAATGAATGTGGAAAAGCCTTCACTCAGAAGTCAAACCTCATTGTCCATCAGAAAACCCACACAGGAGAGAAAACTTATGAATGCACTAAATGTGGGGAATCTTTCATACAAAAGCTGGACCTAATTATACATCATAGTACCCATACAGGAAAGAAACCCCATGAATGTAGTGAGTGTAAGAAAACTTTCAGTGATAAGTCAACTCTCATTATACATCAGAGAACTCATACAGGAGAGAAACCTCATAAATGTACTGAATGTGGGAAGTCTTTCAATGAGAAGTCAACTCTCATTGTGCATCAGAGAACTCATACAGGAGAGAAACCTTATGAATGTGATGTGTGTGGGAAAACTTTCACCCAAAAGTCAAATCTTGGTGTACATCAGAGAACTCATTCTGGAGAGAAACCATTTGAATGTAATGAATGTGAGAAAGCGTTTTCTCAGAAATCCTATCTCATGCTACACCAGAGAGGTCATACAGGAGAGAAGCCCTATGAATGCAATGAGTGTGAAAAAGCATTTTCCCAGAAATCATATCTCATTATACATCAAAGAACTCATACAGAAGAAAAACCCTATAAGTGTAATGAATGTGGCAAAGCCTTCAGAGAAAAGTCAAAGCTCATCATACATCAGAGAATTCACACAGGAGAGAAACCCTATGAATGTCCTGTATGTTGGAAAGCTTTTAGCCAGAAGTCGCAGCTCATAATACATCAGCGAACACACACAGGAGAGAAACCCTATGCATGCACTGAGTGTGGCAAAGCCTTTAGAGAAAAATCAACATTTACTGTACACCAAAGAACCCATACTGGAGAGAAACCCTACAAGTGTACAGAATGTGGGAAAGCTTTTACCCAAAAATCAAACCTTATTGTACATCAGAGAACACATACAGGAAAGAAAGCCCATGGGAAAGGCCACACTCGGAAGTCAAAGCTCATTGCACATTAGAGAGTAAATCAGTAGTGTCTGTTATGTTCCTTAAAGGAAAGTTTTGTTAGTTAACATTTTAAAAGTATGTTCTGACTTATGGTTTAAATATAGAGAATAAAGTCAGCCTTTTTTTTCTTTTAATCTCAGTCTGCACCCAAAAGTTATAGGGAGAAAAAGAAGCAAAAGTGTAATTTTAGTTACTGACAAAATTAGCTGAAACCCTGATGAGAGGGTTGCCACAAGTGGATATGGGAGATCTCAGAGGAGATAGTATGCTCAAGGCTGCAGGTATGATAAGGCTGCAGGTGTGAGACAGTACTGGTAATGACTCATAGCTGCACCCTGAGTGCAGCACAATATACTGCACCAGCAGTAAACCAGGGGGTGGGTAGCTGGGAGGTAGGATGTCTCCTAGGCCCATGTAGTGTCTGAGGAGTGACAGGCAGGGGCCTTGACAACGAATTGCTCAGACAAACCGTGTTTAGCAGAAACCAGTCTGTGTTAATCAGAGGAACAATTGATGGGGGATGAGTCAAGAGAAGGGAGTGTTCTTTGTGATGAACCCTATAGCTGCCCCTATTTACTTCAGAGAAGTCAAATATGAAAGAACTACCAAATGGGAAAAAAAATTCCCAGTTGTAAGAAAACCTCTGAAGTGCTTTAAATGTGGCCCCGGCTTCATTTCCCAAGTGAACCTCCAGCAAACATCAACTCCAGGAAAAACTCTTATTTAAAGAGGAATGATTCCACAGTAATCAAAACCAGAAATATACTTGGCTTTTCAGCAGTTCCACTTGTAGGAATGCATATACTCATACATGCTATAAAATGGTGAACATGCAGAGGTATTCATTGATGCACTGTTTGCAAAAACAAAAGGTTGGGAAGCTGTCTAAATGACCATATCAGAGTCTGGTTCCTGAAATTCTGGTATGTTGATACAACAAACTCCTAGGTGGACAAAAATAAAGAGATCTTGGACACCATTTATGTAGTGATGTGGGATGATCTCCAACATACATTATAAGGTGGGAGAAAAAAGGTACAGGATAGTGAGTATAATGTGCTACCATCTGTATATAAAAAGGAGAACACATGGTAAGTACATAATTAAGAGTATATGCATAAGCTGCCTCTGGAAAGATACACAAGAAGCTGGGACACCAGATTACGTCTGGGAAAGAGAAGGGGAAGTGGGTGGCTGGGGGGATGGAATTGGGAGATAACCGTATATCCTTTTATAACCTTTGAAAATTGTACTATGTGAGTGTACTACCTTTTTAATAAACTTTCTAAAAGCATAGTTTCTTCCATTACTATTATAATGAAGTCAGATTCTAGGTACAGGATTTCATAATATTTAATAGAGATATGCTGAATGTGGAGTTTTAATTTTTTAATAGAATAAATAGAATAATCATTCACAGCAACAGATAACCAATCAGTTCCAAAGGCAAATGAGTATTACTTTCCAGGGAGTGTCAAAGTGATTCTCAGGTCAGCTGGGACCACATTATGTAAACTTAAAATAATTGAGACTGATACACATTTCTTACTTAGTACACACAGTGACATCTGTAAAGATAGCCTGTACTAGAGCCTGCCCATGGCTTTCCATATCTTAACAAAATGATTTAAACTACTTCATTTGTGTGCCTGCTTTAAAAGGAGATTCAAAGCATGAACCCACAAAAAAGTTTACTTGCTCCTCAGGTCACACTACTGCGGGTGATAACATTTTCCAAGGTGAGGGACAGATTGAGAGAGCCATGGTTTGAATGGAGATGGCCGAAGACTGCATAACAGCACATCTGCTCCAGAATAAGAAGTCCCACTGTGTGAATGACTGTATTTGTGGCTCTCATGCTTCTGTGGTGGAATTGGGCAACCCAATCTATGTAAAACCTGGGTATGGTCAGTGTTTGGATGTAACAAAACAGGTGGGTGAGTCAGACCTGAGATGCTGCCTGTGCACTCCAATGCTTTGTTTATTCCCTAAATTATTCTTTAAGAAAATAAGCTGTGGGATCACTTTTTATTGAGCTATTTTTAGTCAAACATGCCATACAGGGTAGGGCAAAAGTAGGTTTACAGTTCATATAGAAAATAAACCAATAATTAATAAATACAAGAATAAACTTTCACATACTTAAAACTGTAACCTACTTTGCCCCATCCTGTATTTAGTGCTTTTCCAGTGGAAAGAAAGCTTGGGGGGAAATGTTGCTTACTTGCTCCTTGTGCAGTCTGTTGAGAGAATGCCCAAGGGCACTAGAAATGAAACTTTATTTTCCTGCTGATAATATTCCTGAGGTCCAAGAAGGCAGCAGAGTAGGCAGAAGCTACACTCACCTCCTCCCAGGACCAGATTGGAATTACAACTAAATTATAAAACAGTCATCCTGAATAACCAACCACAGACTAGTGGCAGAGAAATCTTATAACCAAGGATTTACAGAAGCCACACTGAGGCTGGTAGGAAGATCAGAGGTGAAATGGGCTGGTCTCACACCCATGGGTGGTGGCTGAGGTTTCAGAGGAATATCTCAGTTGCAGGGGGTTTCCCTTGAGAAGCATGGGGTCTAAACCCCAAGCCAGACTCCCCAACCCAGAGACTCAGAGCCTCGAATAGGTGCCCACATAACATCTGGCTGTGAAAAGCAGTGGGGTTTCTGTCTGCCAGGGAGAGGTGGGAGTCTGCTAGAGACACATGCACCCTCTTAAAGGGCCAATGCACAAAATTTTGTTTGCAGCCACTCACCCGGGGCTCCAGTGGAGGGAGGGAAGAATGGATTAGAGTTGCATGAGGAGAGTTTGGGGTTTCTGGCTCTGTGGGGAGAGCTGAAGGGACAGCCACCAGGGTCCCTGTGCTAAGTCATTCTCCCATACTGGAGACACCGTCTTGAGTGGAGCACTCCTGTCCATGTGTCCTCAACCTAGGGGAAGGCGATAGTCCCACCCTCTGGAATATTTCTTACCCCACTCTGTGGAACTTAGACCCTGCTTAGGAGCCAGATGCTTTGTCCAGGGTGCAGAAGTCTGGGCAGACTGAGTGGGTGTCAGTGACTGAGATGTGTAGCATTGGGGCAAGGGCCATTCCACCACTTTCCTGTGAGCCTGACTGGCACTTCCCCCTTGTGGGAGAACCGGTAGACTGACCCTCCAGACTCTAGCTCCAGCTCTGGAGGCCCCATCCGTGCAACTCCTATTGGCTTCAGCCTGCTGAGGGTGGGTCAAAATCTGGGATAGACTGAGTGGTGTGGCCCTTTGTTGAGAGCCACGCCCCCACCTCCTGATGGGAGATTCACTGGCCCCATCCTCCCAAGTCTCAACAGCCCCACCCTGCTGAGATCCACTTTCACTCAGCAGAACATGGGACAGACAGAGTTATGGAGCTCTAGAACATGGGCTGCACTCCTCTTGCACACTGTACTGGAGCAGAGCCTTCCTTTCACATAGCCAAATTTTGGTCTGTTTGGACCTGATAAACATTGCTGGTATCACCCTGATGTATTCCGGAGACCCCACCCCAACAAAGGTATGCAAGCATCCACTGGGTGGCAGCTAGACTTGGTATACCCTGGGACATTTCCTGAGTGGTCCCAGACCCAGCACTGGCACCAAGTTTGAACATGTATTCATCTGGTGAGCACCATTCATCCCTACCTGGTGACTCACTATGAACCTACCTCATGCGACTCAAGTACAGCCAGAGGGTTTTTCATTGACTGAGTCTAACAGGCAGCTGGTAGTCTGTGGCAGGCACAGGCAGATCTCGGGCTGCCTTGGTACTTTTGCTGCCCTGTCCTCAGGCCTAGTGCTGGTAATAGCTGGCCTTGGTGTGCAGCTTGGTCCTTCCAATGCACATCCAGCCCAAGCACAGGCAGCCACAAACTGGATTGCTTGTAGCTACAAACAGGTTGCTGAGGGTCAGTCACAGTCTGTGTCTTACATTGTCCTGCAACAAAGTCCCTCTCAAGAGGCCCAGAACCTACACACCCAGTGGCTAGCTTCAGACAAATTCAGAGCAGAATCCATTTGTTTCACAAGTGGCAATGCAAAGGGAGATGGTAGCAGGTACCAAAACCTGCTGAGGTGAATTCTGCTTCATGTGGTTAGCACTTACACGGCAGACTGCCAAGCTATGGGGGGTTGAGCCTCACAGTCGGCCAACATGGGGGTTGGCCCCATGCATGAATGGGCCAATAGTAGTCAAGACTGAATTACAACAGGAGGGCCCACATAACCCATGCAAGGGAAATCCCTGGAGTACCCAGTTCAGGTGATCAAGAAGAATGTACCACTAGACCCTACAAGACACCTACTACATTAGGCCATCCCATGAAGACTAGGAATAAAAGCAGATCTATTTAACACATAGAAACAAACACAAAGAGGCAACCAAAATAGGGTGGCAAAGAAAAAGGCACCAAATGAAAGAACAGGAGAAATCTCCATAAAAAGAGCTAAATGAAATGAAGGCAAGCAATTTATCAGATATAGAGTTAAAAGTAATGGTTATAATGATGATCAACAGCATGAAAAAAGACACAGAAACCATAAAAAAGGACCAGTCAGAAAAGTAGCACATAATAATCTGAAATGAAGAACCCTGGAAAGAATAAGCAGTAGGTTGGATGAAGCATAAGATCAAATCAGCAAATTGGAAGACAGGGTAGGAAAAAATACTCAATTAGAGCAGCAAAAAAGAAAAAAAATTAAAAAATTAGGATAGTTTAAGGGACCTTGGGACAACATGAAGCATAACAACATCCACATGATAAGGGTACCAGAAAAAGGAGAGAAAGAGAGCAAGGGATTGAGAACCTATTTGAAGATACCATGACTGAAAACTTCTTTTACCTGGTGAAGGAAAAGGACACATAAGTTTGGGAAGCAGAGAGTCCCAAACAAGACTGACTGAAAGAGTCCCACACCAAGACACATCATCATTAAAATGCCAAAGGATAAAGGCAAAGAGAGAAGCTTTGCCACAAGAGAAATACAGTTAGTTACCT